GCGCATTAAAAAAAAGAGTGGTGTGTGGGGGGGGGGGGGGGGAACAAACGGGAAAAATTATGGATAAACCCTCTTTTCCACTCTTCACTAAGGCTTTCTTGACTCAGTTGTATGACAATTGAGCGCCAGTATGTATTATTGGTGTATTGATGTCAAGGATGATGATGATGACGCTGTCTCACAGACAGAACATTCCAAACATTGTAATACTTGAAATTGCCGCTTGTTGCCATGGGTAGACCGGACAGCGGGGCGCTGTATCCACATGTGTCTTCTGCTGTATATCGTGAACGTGCTGTGCAAGCCAGTTTTCAGTCTTGATCTTTGCCGAGTATGATTTTATCGAGTATATCAACCCAGAGACTGTGTGAATATGTAGACGATCGACTCAATAATTGAATTCGTAGCTACTCCCAAATATGGATTGATAAGTGTTATCCCTATGGAAAGATGACTTAAAAAGGCCTGAGTCTGAAACACCAGGAAATGTCACCGAATCTTCCCTTAACGATACGAAATTACGGATTGGGCCCATAATTTGATAAGCTCAGTTTTTTGGATTTTTTTACGCCAGTTGACCAAGCTAATACTTTTCTAAGTTCTTGGACTAATTTCCAATGGGATTTGTTGGGGTATGATACCAATGGCATCTTTAAAGCAGGGCGAAATGGGGTCACATTCCGTGGTGATTTACAGGGTGTGTCCGTTTTTATTACACAATCGCGGAGTTGAATGTAGCCGGTTTCTACAGCGTATCAGAGTGCGGAAAGCCAATAATTTGAAAAATAAATAATTGAAACCCTATATATGATGGGATAATCGAGGAGGAATGGCTCAACATAACCGAGAAGAGTAGGCTCGATAGAAAACAGTAGCTCGAAGAAGCTGGCTGACAGAACGGAAACATTCATGTTCCAAAATGCAAATAAGTTTAACTCAAGTTCGACATCGTGGGTCAACATTCCGCTTATTCCTGCTAGAGTCATTACTACAAAATCGCCTGGTTTACATCCTTGCTTTTCCGCATCCGCATCCACATTCAGGGATATGGATACCCACATCCCAGATGTGTCCTGCTTTCTACATTCCAATTCATTGCCAAAACTATTGCCGCCGGTTTGTGTGAGCAGGACTTGATAGATACAAACAATAAGGTCGAGTACACGCTCATAAGTCGGTCGCAGTATGGCCCAACTCCGACCATTGAGTGGGGAGTGTCGTATTGCCACGCTAGAGTAAATAACACAGAACATAGCCGATACAAAGGTGGCTAGTACTCTAGTAAAGGTAACGTGACAAATACGGTATAGTTCAGGGGCCGGATAGTTAACGCGTAGATTCTATCTGAAAAGGGCGGTTTTCGACCTTGAATACACTGGGAATCCAACAAGTAATAAATAGCTGAATCAAAATGAACGCTGTAGCGGAATGCCAAAGTAGTACGTGAAAAAAACAAGCACCTGTGACGAAGACAAGAATGTCGCCACCTAAAGGTCGTGATTCGTGGATATTGAATACTACATCCTTGGAGGCTTTGAGATAGCAAGGAACCGGGTCAATAGAATAGAACACATGGACGGGGTATTGACGACCTTCCACATTCAAATGAGCAACAGAACCAAGGGATCTGGAGTCCGGTTTTTCATCAGGATCTGGTTTGCACAAGTCTGAAAAATAGTCCATAAACCTATGAAGTGAATGAAGAGAACAAACCCGGATGAGTACAGCTAAGTTAGTTATGAGATGAACTTATCTAAGAGTACCAAAATCCATATTATTATAAAAAATCTGATAGTACGTACAAGTAATACGTCGACTACGAGAGTGAAGAACCATTATCTCGCCCGATGGTCATCTGAAAACGATCTTAGTAGCGTCACATGGACATTTTTATAATTGCTTTGATTCCCATGCTATATCAATATACTTATGGGGATCTGAGGCCGTCCTACTCGGACCACACGACCATTCAAACTAAAAACGGCACCACTTAGTTCAACCCTTAAGTTACGGAACAGAGTGACGATGTACTGGATCCAGTCCACCTAAGTATTAATGTAGCACACATACGTTTATGAATATTCTGGTGGCTGCCATTCGGGGTTACCGACAAAAAGGGGAAACTGTGTAAATGATCTTTCAGTTATTTAAAGCACAATAAGACACGTAAAATTAAATCACAGCTCTATTAGCTACGCGATATAAGTACTGTCGACTGTGGCTGTTTAGCTACACACCCTAGTGGACAGAATGCATCTCTGAGGTGCATTTGCACAGGCAGCCCCCAATAGTCTAGCTTGATAATTGATCAGGTGGCCGGGCTACCCCAAGCTAACATTGCCAACAATCTAGTCTTTTTTTCCGTTCTAAAAGTCACTGAATGTTTAGAATCCGTTTGTGCAAACGTCATGAAAGTAAGAGAATGAGTTGACGAGAATGGTGTGACGCACAATACCACCGACCGGGCACATTTACGACGGGTTCTGTCAGTGGTAAGGCCACATTACAATCTCGTAGATAGCGATGACCATGGAGTATGTAAGGAAAACTATATCCATTAAACAGGGTGTGGTAGATGGAAGCCAGATATACAAAGGATGATCATCACTGGCCCAACAACGGCTGAACATGAAGTAGATGGAAGTGAACAACAACTTCCGGTATGCACAATTACCATGTCACCGTTCTTAAAAGGTTAAGTATCTGGAATTCTAAGCCTTAGAACACACAGCGCCGGTAAGCTCCAATAGTGGTTAGACAGCTAGTTACTATGGTAATTAGGGTTGTGCAGACTTCCGTTAGAAAACCCACTACACTTCTTTCAGAGTGTTGCACACCTTCACACCAGCCTGTCACAGTGCATTGATAACCAATAAGATGACGCCACGTCATTTTTGAAAGTAAGTTAAGATCTTCACATTTCGGTAACATTTCGCAACCGTCCAAGAGACCTATAGACTACCGAGATAGGCACAGTTAGGTCAGAGTCTTATTCTTTATTCATGCCAACATGTCCTGGCATTTTATTAAGGTATGTGGATAAAAAATCTTAAGATAACTCGATAGAAGCGCTACTGAATCTTCTTGAGAAGTCTATCGACTATCTTGTGAAAAGCCGATGACTCAACAGGAGCAAATCATAGAGGTTGGTTCAATCGTGCATGTGCCTTACCACTAAAATCCGTGAGCACTTTTCGCCAATTTCCCATCTTGTTAACTGCTTTGCACACAAGGTATCAATCTACTCGACCACGACATTTCGTTTCCCTTAGGTAGTCGGCAGAGTGGGTTGACCGATATGGCATCTCCCTGAGTCGCACCACATGCAATTTCAGACTATGCCGTCTTTCGTTTATCTGTGGAGCACCAAACACACAGTGACAAGAAGTTGGATGACTCCACGTAGGAAACATGAGCTTGTCGCGCCTGTAACTGACAAGAGATTCCAAAACAAGGCCGACAATGACGCTGACTGCAACAGCACGGTTAGGATTACATCAAAAGAATGGACTACTTGACTCTTTCATTGCACAAAAAATCGGAAAATAAGTGATTGAATAAATAGATCCATAAAAAAGAAAAAGCGAAGGAATCAGGATGATATGCAGTAGCGCTCCTACTTCAGATCAGCTTATTAGATGTGAATAAGAGAGTTAATTGCAGAACACTACTACTCTGGAGTAAAGATCGTGTAAACAAGACGCAATAAGCCGTGTCCGATGAATGGAAGTGACTAATCGACCAGGGTGTATGCAGCTGGGTGACTCATGAGCCCGCATATACGTGAGCAATTTTAAGGCACAATCATTGTGCGAAATTTTCAATGAAATAGGGTCATTGGACATGACTACAAATAGAGCCCACGTTGTGCAGATAACTACTTTAATCCGTTTGCATTTACTGAAGTGCCCAAAAACACCGCCAGCTTTCCTCTGTTTTATCGTAGAATGTTCCATCGAGTTCCTTTATCCCTAGATGAACCTGAGTCCACAGATCACGCTCAAGTAGGAATAGTTGCTGGAGAGATCAAAACACACCAAAATACACTAGTTTGAACCCAAATCACATAACTGTGAGGAACAGTCATTGTCAATAACTAAACTTCGAATTGGCTCTTTTGGGAGCAATTTCTTTTGTTGGTTTAACATCTTTGGTGATGGAAATATTTAGGTTGCACTTAAAAACTGCTTTGGTGTCAATTGGATTATAAACCTCCCGGTGTGGAGAACGTCTTGAAACTGATGCGGGAATTGAGCTATTGCGAGCAAAGTTAACTTAATCATAACCTTACATGATCCGAGAGTGTGGAGAGTTTCCATAAGTATGCGAACAGAGTCCCTGTGGTTCGACTGGATCGAGAAGTGCACCTGCGTGGGTCTGCGGATAGCAGTGCTAAACATATTAAAACTGCAAACCTGTGTAGCTTCCACGGTGCGTGACACAAGTGGACGCACAGATGTGGATTAAACGCAAAGTGAAAGATACAACCAGCATGATGGCACACAAAGCAGACGGATTTCCATCGCGATATGTCCTAAAAAGGAGGCGTCAGTGTCCTAGCTGCCTGACACACATCACGTGAGCTACGCACAGCCAGTCTAAAAAAACGGAACGATAAACCTACAAAGTAGCGTCAACGGATCAAACGGCAAACGACACTGCTCTGTTCGAGAAAAGTAGGAGTCACTGCTGATCGTCATTACGTTTAATTGGTGTGGTATCGTAATCGTACTACTCAGAAACGGCAGCACCAGTGTTGACGCTGACGCTTCACTGTCGAACAAACAGGAAGTCCATTTAATCATACTTAAAGTGAAAAGAAGGAATGAGTAGGCGAGGGAGGGACTGGGTGTTGACTTATCGAAAGTACTCTGGGGTGCACATCCCTCCAAGCACTCAAATGAACAATCTAAAAAGAAGATCACAACACGAGCGCCGCTGACAGGGATCAACCGCTATTTCTTGCAGCGCCTCCAGTCAAGCACTGCGGGGAATACGAGGACCCCATTTGGGAGGCGGACCACATCAACATCACCCAGTCTTCGTAATTTCTTTCACACAGTTCAACCAAGTCATTTGTCTACTTCGCAGTTTGCGTCATTGTGAAGGATACATGGAGTAAAACATTCGAATCGGTAGGCGGTGTTTCGGCATGGCTGGCACGTTGCCGAGTCACCGCAGCTGATGATGTTGCATGATTACCGCGAAAGAAGTATCTGCTGAACAACCGAAACCCATTTTCTAATTGCCCAGTTACGAATTCGTCGACACCAAACGACCATCAGCACTTCTGGGACATCGGTGGCCAAAAACCTGAAGAAGCTCCACATCGTCCGTCCGCAGAGGGGATATCTCGCAACCGTACAACAATATGATCCTTACTGTAGCCTGGCATACACGACCACTGAGACCCTGTGATATGCTTCTTTGAGGCCACCAATGACGCGAATTGGCTTTTGAGATCCGTGTACTGACTTTATCGGACACGATTCCATCAGACTTAGTGTAACTACCGAGGTAAGATTCCCCACAACCTCCGGTGCTCCCCCTTGAATTGCAAGCTGTAGTTGCAAAGCGCATCCCGAAGGATGATACGATGGTGGTCAGTTTATTCAACACAGCTTGTGCTTCGCCTTCGCCCTGAAAGATGAGGACTATGTAGACAAGGTTCTCACCGACAATAATTTGAACGGTGGGGTTACGAAGATCATCTAGCGTTTGTCTCACTATTTCATCAGTGACACAGTTGAACAGGAACAGTGAGTGAGTGTGAGAGAGAGAGGACATACTTGGCGGATAACACTTGTTGGGGGGGGGTTAGAAAGCCCCTCATACAATCTCATATGCTCAGAAGTATGTGAACATAAAGACCGGATTATGTTCACAAAATTCTGGTGCATCCTCTGTTGAGCAAGTTTACTTAAGACACTGACCGGTCGACAGAATCGGATGCAGTCTTGATGTCCGGGTGTGCTAATGGTGTTTCGACTATCCAGTAGATCGTAGTTGCGACCGATGTGGGTCTATCATCTATTGAAATGTATTACGCTTCTCTGCTGCAATCGCTCGGCAACGGTGCGTGGGATAAGAATGCCCCCAGTCAGAGACGCTCATAAAGTTCCAAACTAGGGTACTCTATTTCCCCTAATATTAACTAAGACCTTCTCCTCTAGGCTTCTAGGTTCTGATTCACATTGAAACCAGTATCTGGGGGATGCATTCATTGAAAACAATCCACTGATCTGAACTGACTGGTTCATCATCCTACTGATTGGCCAGCGGTAGTCGAATATGCTAGTCAGAGCGCTCACAGAAAGGTGATGGTATTCACAATGCAAGAAGGCGGTCGCGCTTTAAGAGTGGATGACGATTGGCTTGGCCGACCATAGAACTATGGCAAACATCGTGGGCAATCTATGTCATTAGCGCAGTGATGGCACTCAGTATTCACTGACCTAAGAGAACCTTGAACTCTTTCAGTGGCCAGTGATGTTTTTTCCTCTTAACAATACCATCACATCCCAACTTATTCGATGGAACAACCCACTTAAAGCAAGTGGAACATTATTAGACTATCTCTATTAGGATAGTCAAAAAAGGAAGAAACACGGTCGAAGTGAATGGGATGAATCTTGATCGCAGTACCACATTTAGCGAACGAATGAAACAAACTTACTGCTAGCTAGAAAGTCCAAGCCACACTGGACAGAATTAGGCCGCATGTGTCGAAGGCCCTGCGACACATCAAACAAAAGTCTGGCCAAAGTTTGTTTTATTGCTAGGAGTGAGGTCCACTTACGTAGATGATGCCTCCATTAACATGAACAAAAGCAGCCCGTAGATGTTTTTTGTCTCGAAACCCATTGTGCAACTCTACCTGGTTCAAGGAAGAGCATGAGACTGGGGACAGAAGTTCGCTGGCTGCTTTTTTTCTTGGAATAATGATCATTTTGAAACCAAGGTCTACCGCAAGCCACTTGCGTTAGACCGCTATGTGGACTTGGATTTTGCCCATCCATTAAACATGAACCTAGGGACGGCTCGTACACTCGTCCACCGAGCCCAAAAAATCTGTAGCCGTCTGTCACGGAGCGTGACATCACTCATATTACGAGCTCTAGGAAACGACAAGCATCCTGCAGCTCACAACGTCTGGTGCCAGCCAGCCCGATTCAATAACTGAGGAAAGTGGATTCTGCACCAACAATATGCACCAGAAAGCATCTGTCGCTTGTGGTGCAACCTAGACATTTACATAGCTTTTCCAGATAATAAAGAGACAACTAGTCCGTACTGTGGATCCAGTAAAACCAGCAGACAACTGAAGGCTTGGACAAACGAAAAAATGACACTGTCGCACTGATCCGAGAAACTCCGTTGAGTTGGACAAACTAGAGGAGGACTCAATAACTTTACTACATGCATCAGTCGAGGATCATCGGATCAATCGCGATGGCATGTATATCTTACGACGAAAGCCCGATGTGTGTGTGCACAATCCATTCCTACGTCAACATAGCTGTGTTAACGGCTATCCGATCCGGCTTTCGTCATCACACAAAGTAGGGTAAAGCTCGTGACCTGAAAACCCGACAACAAGGCAGAGGCGTGAACACACACACACACACACACACACACAGGCACACAATCCACTCTCACCAATCGTAATTCACGAGACATCGCATTAGCCATGCCTTTGTTCCTTGGAAAAGGTGGTTCGAAATGATTGGCGGATTCATCTCATAAACATGTATAAGTTTGAGTATATTGACTAAGACTACGGTTGTTAAGCGACCTCCAAGGTACTGAGTTGATCAGGCACGATAGTCAATCCGGGTCCCAAGATTTCTCTTCATGAAAGGCAGCAGCTAGGCTGCCACTTTACGACGGAAAATGTGTACCGGCTAAGGGGAGAAAGAGGAATTCGATGGACTTCGTCTAGGCGAAGTAAGTTGGGTCAAAATACCTGCGCCTTACAAAAAGCAGCATATCAGCATCACCGTAGAAATAAGCTATCTTCCAGATCTCACCACCTAATGGTACGAGAATTTGTGCCTCAGTAAAAACGCAATGACAAAGCTGTGGCCTAATACTTACGGGCTGGAGTGCAACAGTGATAATAAACAATGAAACAATGGTCCAGCTGTAACACCCTTTCGGTATCTAGCTGCCATGCCACCCGAAGGAAGCACAAGGGTTGAGGTACCGTCAGATTGCCCGAGTCTAGAACGGGAGTCAATAAACAAGCTACCCATGAAACGGGAAAGAAAAAATGTTAAGTGGAAAAGTCACAAAGCAAGCAGTTTTCGCATACCTTTTAACTTCGACAGTAGCCGAGGATACAATCAATCGTAGATCATAGGGACGCTTTCGTAACACCTTCTTCATCAAACCTAGTAGGATATCGGTCTGCAGTGACCGTTCGTGGACTTCGTCAAGCATGACCACACGGAAGCGACGAAGTAATGGATCGCGCAATAACTCTTGAACGAGCATACCCTCTGTCATGTATGAAATGACAGTTACTTGGGGGGTGCGGCATTCCTATATAGGGAATAAGAATCAGAAAAAGAACGGCGCCAGTGACACTGCAATAAGGCGCGATGCGCGGAGAAATGTCTACACATAAATCCCTTGGAGCTNGCAATACACTACTCACAAGGTTGCTGAAAGGCGCATTGTAGCATGAAAAATGTCCGAGAAAGGATTTTTTTACCTTTTCATAATGAAACAAATCGTCTGCGGTGTACAGTTTCTGAACAGGTCTTTGTCACTTTTGTGTAAAACTAGCAAACTGAGTCGTAAGAACCTCGGCTGACCAAATACCAGCGGCACATGTCAGCAGTTGTTCTTCAGGTTCGGAATATCTGCTGGACTGAAACGTTGAGTCACAAAAATAGCGTGACTACATAGTGTGGAGTCAAAACTTCGAGAGTTCAGAAACAGTCTTCAGGTATGCGGAAACCTAAATGTAGTTCAGAATGCTAGCACATCCGATGATACAAATAGATTTTTGTTAGAACAGTCGTCCCCCTGTCATGACGCAGTCATTCTGCTGAGTACTTATTAGCGCCCATCAGTAGTGCGTATCCAATGACCGTGCCGGAGTTTGAACTCAGCACATTTGACATGGGAGGCGAGTATGTTACCACTGCTACACCAATGCACGCTGGACTCATCCGATTATTTTACGTCTGAACGTGTTCGTGCTTTGCTCGAACGACGACCCAGTAACACCTTGGTTGTGTCGATCGACTGGCCCGCCAGTCAGGACTTTCCAGTCAGGTAGCGCCAGACGCTTGAAACCTGTTGGACACATTTTGTTTCAGGTGTTGGTGGTTGCGGGATTTTGCAGAAGACATATGTCACAACAGGAGAACGATTGTTCAAACGAGAGCCATGTGAGTATGTATTCTACAAAATCACGCAACCATCAACAACTGAAAACGGGTTAGAACATGCACAGAAAAAACGCAAACTTGGTAATTGAAACGGCTTTCTGAGACTACTGGAAGAACAATCGCGTGTACGAACAGGACGATTAGGGGGGTTGGTTACGCGTGTTTTCGCTCGAATGAAACTCATTTAGCTCCACCTGGTCTTTGGTAACCGCCATGTACTTAGTTATCATTACGGTTAATTCCTCTTGACCAGCGTATGACGAGTGATATCAGATATTGAGACTAATTCGGATCTACCTGAATTGGTGGAAGATAAGAACTCTACGTTCAAAAAGTCAGGCCCGAATGTTCGAACCAAGCTATTCGAAGGATTACGAGCAGACAATCCTCTAGCGGATATATATATTCGTTCAGCTGTAACACTCTTTCGGTACCTAGGTGCCGTGCCATCCGAAGGAAGCACGAGGGCTGGGATACTGTCAGGTTGCCCAAGCCTAGACAGGGGAAGTCGAGAGGCAGAGGTCAGGCTCG